AGAGGCATAAATAAATTTTGCTAGTTAAGTAATTTCTCCAGCTCCAGCTCCGTCTTCTTTTTCTTCTTCTACATCGTGATTATCTAACACACTTGCTATTCATTTCTAACAGTGTTGAAAAACGAATTATTTAGTATAATATTATTGAAGCAACTACTGTAATAGAATTTTCAATATAACCCTTGATTTCAACATGAGGTGGGTAGAGATATGGTGCTATATCATTGAGCTATATCTATATAAGATAACTATTGCAATGATTATAACATTTGTATATAGCAAAGTTACACGTAAAGAAGATAAGTGTCATTAGCTAGTTCTCAATCTCAGATAAACGAATCCGTAAACTTTTAAAATAAAGATCGTATGGAATTACACGATACCATTACAAAAGTGATATATGAAGGTTGATGTCCTACATTCTATTGTACTTCAATCATACGACCATATTCCAATTTTTAAATTTTGAAACAAATTCATAAAAAAAACACTCATTCTTCATTTCATCTTTTAATACGATAATTGTATTTCAGTGTTTCGTTTAAAGTTAATAACCCATTCAGTAATTTTGCTTTAACAATTAAAAAAAAATCTTCGGAAGATCTATGGTCCCTTACGCGTCAGCAACGAGTTTCGAATTAGATGGAACGTTGAACTCTATGAGCTATTCGCTACATTGACATAATTAAGCGCATACAAAATCAGCGTCTTTGCTGGCTTGGACATATTGTGCGAATGGGAGAAAAGCGACAGCAAGCAACTAATCGGGCTGGCTGGCTGAGGCTATCGAATGTGGCCAAGGACGACTCACGTCTGCAAAAGCGAAGATTACTAATTTCAAAAATTTTTTTCAGAATTTTTGATTCTTATTTGTCAATTACGTTAACTTTTTTGTTTATCATTTTATGGCCACAACATGCAAAACACAGTTTATTAGCATCAAACGAAATTTAAAAGTAGTGAAAGTGACAGTTAACAGCATCAAAAACGAGTAATACAATACGAACATATATTCCATTATGCATAAAAATTCCGAAGGAAACCCTTGATATAAATTCTTTTAATGGTAAATAATAGCAGAAGTACTGAAGGTTGCTTACCATCTATATATGTATAAAATTATATCTTGTTTATTTATTTGTTTTTATATTAATTATATTAATTATGGCTTTTCAATTAAAACATAAACCGAAATGGATCGACTTAGTCAAAACAACTTCTAAATTTACTTTGAAAATACAAGAAATATTGAAATGTTATCATATTTTTAAGTTGAAAATTTTACATAACTGGGTTATAAATTGCTCTAATGTAAGAATTTTTACTATAATCTAGTTAGAATGTTTCTTAAGAAGAGCAATCTTCTAACTGCATAATGATTCATTAAAAGTTTTTTCCACTTCAATAAATATTATTCATTCTTCCACATATAATCGTTTATTGTAATGTTCTGCCTCATGCCAATATTATTAAACTCTGTCAATTGGAGATCCATAACTCATACTAGAAAATTTGAAATATTTAATATTGAATTCTACAACTTAATCAAGTTAGTCGTAGCCAAGCTTCCCAATAAAGTTGCTAATATATTTGCATAACTGATTACGAGGTTACCACAAACTGACGCACATTACTTCTAATTATAAACAGGCTCTGACTTCGTGTCGAGTATCAATTGCAAAATAGATTCTGAACGGTCAAAGTGTCAGTTTTTTCTAATCAACGCTTCAATCGGGTGTAGGTGTCGGTACACAGCGCAGCAATGTACGCAAAATTGTTAGTAAAATTCACACTGCCATTAATGTTACTTCTAATTGCTTTATTGCGAGTTTCCTTTACATATGCACAAGTGCCTGAAGGATATGTAAAGAGAATACACCGCAATGGGCGATACACGCCGGAAGACATTGACAATACTCAAGGCAAATACAAGCCTGACTTTAGAGGCAAATATCATCATATACACATACCTTACAATGGTGGTTATGGCGATCGTGGACTAAAATACGTTCATGCTGACGGTTACGACCTAAGTGAGAATCCCTCTGGTTTAGTGCTTGGTCCAAACGATCATTTACGTTTTTCAATTGATTTTAATTACAACGGTACTGGCTGGCAAGTGATTGAATTTGAATGGGTGCGTGATGGTGATGAAGACGTGAACTATAATTACTTGAGTGAGAATCAGTTGTGGTCAGTTAATGAAGGTAAGGGACAGTATGGAAGTGATAACGATCCCAGTTCACAGGACAAGAAGTCTAAAGTTCTCGATAGAGTATTAGAAGATGCAAATGCAAAACTACAAGTTAATGGAGAGTTTGATAAAAATATATATAATGTGACTTACTTAGATGAGAATGGCCAGGAGTTGGAGAATGTAAGTTTTAAAATTAAATAAAAATCTGCATGAAATTATTTTATTTTAATTGAAATTTTAGGTAACCGAAGTTAAGTTTGCAATAAAGGATGTTTTGGATTACATACAAACCTACATACTTCCATCGTTGTAGTGATAACTGAGTGCTAGTGCGTACATATTTCAATATATTTAATTATAAAAACTTAAAATTAATTTAACTGATAATATATGGAAATTTTATAAAAAATTAAAATAATTTTATAAAGATAAGTTAAAAAGTTAACATTAAAAATTTGATTAATGATTATAAAATTCTGCTTTTTTAATTTTTATCAGTAGCTACATTTAGTGACATGTGAAGATTAATTGTTCAAAAATAGCTGCACATGAAAGAACACAGATTGAATTTCTCCTTTAATTATACCTGTAGCAGTTGTGGGAAAGAAATGTGCCTCTCATTTGCTTTGTCTTTGCCCAACTCATTCACGGCGGTAACTCAACACTTTAGAGGTCGCTTCTCTGAGGATCTTGATCAATTTTAAAACTCCCACTAAACAGCATTTTAAGCTTCGTCAAAGGTTCCAAGTGGTTTTAAACCCTGAGTTTCATCATTATACGATAGCACAATATGCCTAAATGTGTGACTTAACCCAACCTACCCTAAAATAAAACATTTGTAACACTTTATAGTTATTAATCTCGTAAGTGTAATAAGATTATAAATGTACACTTTAAATTAAAAACATATAAATAAGTAAAGCGTCTCTATATCTCAAATATATTGGCTTTCCTGAAACTTTTGCACACTTTTCACACTTTCATAGCATCACACGGGAACCTCTCAAAAACAAGAGTACA